TGGCACTCTTAATGTCCTGATCCTGGGACGTTATGTCGATCACTGACTTCATGACAAGTGGTGCCACATTCAGGCCAAAACCCAAACGTGTAAGGCAAAACCGCTTGCCCTTAATGACCACTGTTTGAACGGGCCATAGCGATTTGTCAATGTGAATCTGTAGGTACACATTTCTCAAATCCAACAGCGATACGTCAGCTCCTTGTCGCCGCCATTCTCGTAATTTCTGGCGCACACACCTCTCGTCAGCCGTGAATGCGTCTACAAAGCCGTTCAACTCCCGATAGTCAAGTACCGGTCGGACCTTCTGTTTGTGTTCTTGTACGACCGCCATTAAGGGAATTAATCCCTTGGGTGGGCCAAGCTCTTTCTCAGTATATGGCAGTAGCCATCCGTCTCGCTGCCACCGTGCTAGTTCTTCATCGTATGCATCCCGGACGTGGCCAGGTACTGTGTACTCCTGTACTTTATTGACCAACTTGCCAGGTGAATAACCACTCGCCCACTTCCACAATGCAGTCCGTTTTGCGTGCTCAGGTTAAACGTCACTCTAAAGTCAGGCTTGTTGATAACAATGGCGGCACATGTGTTCAGGTTTCGAAACGAGCCGCCTGATTCGGTCAAGTAAACACCTCCAGCACTTTGATTGCATCAATCCTTAGAAGAAGATCGAATCCCAGCAACTGCCCTTCCACGACCAGAACCTCAACAGTCACGGGCTGAATCTGCTCGACGCCAAACTTAATTTTACCGTATCCACGGCACTTCAGGGTCTTCCCGTCGGCAGTCAACACTCCCACCCTCTTCCTGCTTCCAGCAGCGACACACAGTCTTGCTCACCAGCGTCTGTGAGCATCCCGAATCCACTAGAGCTGTGCACTCTACTCCATCTACAAATACTTGTACGGTGGGTAACTTTGGTTTTTACTTGCTCGGGAGAAGGCTGGCGCTGACGCTTTCTCCCCCTTGGGCGTTCGCTGGCATTCTGAGGAAATGTGTCCAATGCCGTTTGCATCGAAAACACCGCTTGTCGCGACCAGACCTCTGCGTTCTGTTTGACCTCTCCTGACGTCCTTGTGTACAATTCTTCGCCATATGGTTGGGTCCAGAGCACTTATAGCAGGTAATCGTTCTGCTAACAGGTTTGGCAGGGGGGAACCTCAGCTTTGAGTAGCGTTAGCTCTACGGATGCGGGCGGCCAATACCTGGCACCTTAATCATCCGTCATAATAGCCCTTGCTCGGTCAGAATCTGTTCTAGATTCATGTCGTCCATCCTGGAAGAAGCTTTGAGAAGCTGCCTAACATGATGTGGCAGTCCTGACACAAATGCACATGCCATCCACCGATCAGGTAGCGGTTCTCCTACTAGCCCGTGCCAAACGATGCATTTCAGCCAGGAATTCATCCACAGTTTCCCCTGGCGAAGACGCCGTCCCCATAAATTGGTCGAACGCATTAAATCTGTCAGTCGCAGATGCAGTCATAAGGGCCCGTTTAATTTGTTCGCGTCTGCCCTCTGCTCTCCACTGAGTTGTCTATACACAGCAAGGGCACCGCCTCGAAGTCGTAAAGGCAAGATGCGCCGATCTTGTCCATGGCACAAAGTTCGCAGACCAATTCCACATTTTCTATCCATTCAACAATGGGCATATCCGTTGAAGCCGCTGAATTCTGGAATCGAACGGACGTCAAAGACCTTGCCTTCCATTTTGAAGAATCAATATGCCGAAATAGCTTGAGGCGAATGAAGAAAACAGTAACCAGCGAGTAAATTCAAGCTCTCCCAGCTGGTATTTCAAACTAGAGTCGTTCCTTCTTGAGTTCTGTCTCCAAATCACACTAACTGCCCGTTCTAGCCGTCAACCATGAATGTCCCTCGAAGAACTCCCCGACTCGGAAAAAAGTAGTTGTTTTTATAATTGTTTATGTACCCATAATCCCTTGCGTCTTCATGTGATTCCATAATTTATTGTCCCATAATGCATTGCATCGTTATTGCATAAAAATGCGATGCCAGTCCCCCCTCATTCTTTTACATTATCTGGCCGAGGATGGATTACGGCAGAGCAGTAAGTGCTTTTTTCTCTCCCTCATTTCAACTGCAGTAGCTTTGCATGCTAAGCAAATACGGGCTCTTTTTTGGCGGGGACAAGGCAAGTCACGACCAGTTGTGCTCGTCCCAGGTTCTGTCTCATGTCCGCCACAATATTTAATATTAAAAATAGACCATAATTAGCATTTAAAAATTAATCTGGATCAACATATTTAAGCAGATATTTATTTTTATGTCTACATGTAATCATCAATTCATTTCTCTTGTTTAATAACTTTAAGTGTTTTACAATAACCAGCTTTTCAACAGGACATAAATTGCATTTATTTCCTTTACTGTTATAAGCCTTAGCCCTAAATATAATTTCCCAGATGATTGATAGGAGATGCCAGAAATATTTGGAGAGAGCAGTGCTGTTTTTGTATTTTGAATTATTTAAGGTCATTCTATGATGGTAAAAACGAAATTTCCAAGGATTTTCCTTGGAACCAAAATAAAATTTAACATTGTTACCGGAATGTATGTTCACATGGTATATATTATTGGTCATACATTGACTGTTTAAGGAACAGATTGTATTTTTACGGTATTTAATATAATGTTGTTATGATGGGAGATGGATGTGTTTATGTTGTTAATGCCGCTATAGCTGATATTAACATTTGCTTTTATTAAAAATCTTTTTTAGTGTTGATGATTGGTTAAAGTATTTCTAAATATTCTAAATTTACTTTATGATGGCTTAGTTCTAAAACTTGTATATATTTAGACTTATGAAACATTTCCTTATTGCTGGAGTTTTTGGATAATCTAACTTGGACAGATTTACATAAATTATCTAGAATTTTATGGTGGTGGTTTGGTTGTTTACTAATATATCCATGGTTACATAGATCCTTTATATATGATTTATTAAAATCACTATTCAGGTCTAAGGTTACATCAAGAAAGTTGATCATTTTTGCATTGGTGGTGGTGGTAATATTTAGTTGGATCTTTTTAAAAAAATTCCAGTTCTTTTCTCAATCAGTCTATCTTTTGTGGACTAATTTTATGGGAATGGGGAAGCATTTTCTTTTAATTTTGGAATAAAACACGTTCATTTTGGTGGTACCTAGTGTTATGTTTTATTCTTGATATAATTATTTAAGTGGTAGATTTATTTAGTCAATTATGTGATGATTTTTTTTTTTTTTTTAAATTAAATTCATTTTGAAGACATCGTCTTCATTTTGAAACTAACAAAAATATAAATAATTGTTTTAAGGTATATATATTCATGAATAGAATTGCATATAGATTTCTTCACTTCTACCTGAGGAGTAGTTTATAAAAGAACAGGTTTTTAATTGAATTTTTCGAAATGGTAAAAATTAAACTGATACAACAATACCTTACAACTGAAGCAAAAGAAATATCTATGGAGATTGAAGACTTTCAAGCTGCTCTATTGTGAAATATATTATTAAGCCACTTGATAGATCTGAAGAACATTTAAGTCTTTTATTTCTTAAAATAACTGAAGTGAGGTTTAGTTCTACAAAATCACACCTTTATGCAATTACAAATAGCAGGCTTTTAATTATTTCTATTCTCTATAGTTAAGAGATTAATTAAGCATAATTATCATACCTTTTTGTGGCATCTTGCAGTATTTTCAAGACTACATTTTTAATTTCTAACACATAAGGTATGTTTTTGCTTATTTGACATTATGAAAGATTTCTTTGAAAATTCCCATGCAGTGAATCTCACAGTATATGATTTTTATAATATCAAGGTCTTCATGGTTTTTTTTTTTTTTTTTTTTTTTTGTCAATTTTTAAAACTCTAAGTTAAAAATATAACTTTTAGCAAAATACTTTAAAATTAAGACTTCATTTAGCTTGCTGCTTTAATTTTTATTATGGTTTAAAAGTATAGAAATAGCATGTATTAGCCATACATAATTCAGAAAACTTGAACCAGTTGAACTTTATTTTCTCACTTCTATTCCAATAGCTCCATGTCTCACACTTTTCGCCTGTGGAACTCCTCCCCTTTTCTTGTTTCCCTGATAGCTATAATCTCCGACTATTCAAATGTAATGTTGATCAACATCTCCAGTTGCCTTGATCTATCCCCTATCCGTCTCTTCATCCTTTCCTCTATCACTCCTCTTTGTTCTCGCTCCAACTCTCTGTAACCCCTTGCATGCTAGTGGCTTCCCACCTTGCTTGGAGTGAAACGTTAAAAAAAAAAATTTTAAACAATCCATTCTATGACCTTCTTCAGGTATATCCATATTGAAACATTTTTGTCTTGTACATTAGTGCAAAACAAAAATATAGTAGTTGACAAAAGCTAATTTAAACATTAACAGCAATACTTTTAAAATAGGTTATCCTGTATTTAAGAAAATGATATGCAACACAGCTTATTTCAGAATGTGGAGATGTTCTCAAATCTTTAATTTTATTAAGTTTTAAGAAATTTTATACTTTGTTCCTGTTGAGCAACAAAAGCTATGTCATATTGAAATCCACATCCATGCAGGTGTTACACAATCAACAATCAAGACAAAAGCCATTAGTAATACTTGCCTCTTTGTATCACTTCATATAACCAAAAAACAACTTGTAATATTTTCTACTTCAATTCATATTAAATTTCTTTAACCAGGGGAGCATAATAAAATTCTAGTATGAATAATACACTTTTATATGCTGATTCATCATAAACAATCTAAGTCTTACCTTATAATGACCACAGCACTGGTCAGCATAAAGCTTAGAAAATTAAAACTCTAGGGGAAATTCTGAAATCACTTTAATGCTAACAGTTGGTAATTTACAATGGAAATTACAAGAAAAGTCAATGTTAGCATTGACACAGTACAAAATATAACCCAATATATATAGCATCTGATTCCAAGACATTTATTTATTTATTTTTTTTAATTCTAGCTTTGGATGGGAACCCATCCCAATGGGCCTTCCAAAATTCACCTTGATGGTGTAGAGAAAGATCTTGGTGAATGGATTAGTGAACATCCGGAGCAGTTAGGAAAGGAAGTTAATGAATACTTCAAAGGAGAATTACCATTTTTGTTTAAGGTGCTTTCAGTAAGAACATCTCTATCAATTCAAGCACATCCAAATAAGGTAAGAATTTCTATTCTACAAATGTTTTTACTGTTTGATCAATGAAAAACAAATCCATTTCAGTTGACACAATTGCTCTAATAATGCATTTTTCCAGGAATAATGATAAAACTTTTTCTTTTAATATGTCTATTAATTTATTAATTAAAAGAGAAAACTTTGCTAATCAGTTTTTATGTTATATCCCCTTAATATTTTTTTTTTTAACATTGACATATAACCCAAATAATGTCACCATTTTCTTCAAGGAAACTAGAAATTAAAACCTAATCACTACCTAGTAGTCATTTGCTTCCACAAATCTTGACTTATTGCATCATAGAAATGCACATTTACAAAGGAGTAAATACTTGTCTAGTTTATTGTTTGGTAAAATATATGGTATAATAACAAAATCATTGTTTGCTTACTCTGGTAATGGATTATTAATACAAATATAATTTCTCATTCCAAAATTAAATTTTATTTGATTTGATAAGTGTTATAAATAAAAAGTATGTTACTGATCTGGTTACCCTAAACGCTGGTGTGCAATCACATACACACACACAATGATTGTGTCAAGGCGTTTTTCTTGCTGTTACATCACGTAAACTTTATTTGGAGCACAACTATTTTTGTAGTGATACTAGCAAATTAGTATGCATAATTTGCATAAGCATAAGTGAACACTCATATAAGTGGTCACCGGGAATAACAAAGTAGAAGTACGAGTCTAGCGGCTGATTAGTGCTAACTTCAACTTCGCAACAATGGCATCGCTGAGAGGATATCAATTGTCTCTGGAAGATCCAGAATTCGTGGATACATGGATTCATTGTTTCTCTGCCACTGCGGGAACAAAAAAATTGAAAGACAACAAGGAAAAGGAAGGTGAAAATGAAATCACGGATTTATTTTTGGCTACAGCTGGATGTGAGGCGGTAATGAAAGTCTCCACCATGGTATATCCCTTAAATTTGGAAGATCTGACTTTCGAAAAAATAAGTCAGATTATAAGAAGAAATATGAGACCCAAGAAAAGGCTGGTAGTGGCAGAAAGAACGAAATTCATGTCAATGAAACAAGAAGTCGACAAACCAATTATAAAATATTTACACCGTCTACGAAATGCAAGTAGATATTGTGAATTTGAAAAACTTGGACAAGATGAACAGACTATTGAAGAGGACTTGATTCAATTAAGACTAATTGAAGGTATGTCCAATGTGTCACACCGATATAAAATAATGGAACAATTACAAATAGGAAATATGTCTTTAAATACATGTATTGACTTTATGCAGCAACAAGAACTAATACAGAAATACCACCATCATAAAAGTCAACCCAGCGAACAAAATTTCACTGATACGTACATGTTAAAGAAGATAAAAAAGTGTTTGTATTGTGGACATGAACATGAAATGAAAAAGGAAAAGTGTCCAGCATTTGGAAAAACTTGTAATAATTGCTTAAAAAAGAACCACTTTCAAGCAGTGTGTAAATTAAAAAAGAAAAATGTTGAAAGAATTGAAGAAAACGACACCGATAGGGAAGTTTTTGCATTGAAAAATAAGACTTTTGAACATAAGAAAAAAGACATTATATTAAAGGTTAAAATTAATAACTGCAATTTAGATATGCAAATGGATACTGGGAGTGAAGTAACACTGATACCAAAAAATTTTTGGGAACACATTGGTAAGCCACCTTTACGAAAAAGTAATTTACAACTCCGCCAGTTTGATGGGTCCATTATAAAAATATTAGGATACTTTGAAGGTTCATTGGAGTTAAAAGAAAAATTTGAAGTAATTCCTGTAATTGTTACAAGTTGCAAGAAAAACCATGGCCTTATTGGGAATGATGTGATTAATATGAATTCTACTAAGATAATTAATGAAATAAAACTGGAAAGTTAAAAAACTATGAAGCAAGTATAAAAGTAAAAGAAAATGTTTCCTCCTCTTATTATGAGGCACGAAAATTACCAGTACATTTATTGCCGTTAGTAGTGACAAAACTACCTAAACTAGTAGAACAAGACCTTCTAGAACATGTTCCACCTGGAGGTAGCAAGTGGGCATCACCGATTTGTAGTTTTGAGGAAAACAGATGGTGATTTACGTATTTGTGGAGATTACAAAATAGGAGTAAATCACAAGATATGCTCGGATTCATATCCCATACCCAATGTTGAACTTGCATTACATGCACTGGCAGGGATGTCCGTTTTTTCAAAAATAGATTTAAAAACGGCATACCACCAAATACCAATAGACGAAAACTTCAAAGAAGTAACCACGATAAATACGCCAATGGGGTTACTAAGATGGAAAAGAATGCCATATGGAATAAAAACTGCAAGCGCCATAGTTCAAAGGGCCATTGAACAGGTTTTAGGAAATGTACAAAATATGGTTTGTTACCAAGACGACATATGCATAGGAGCTACTAATGAAAAGGAATTAAAAGAAAAAACTGACTTAGTCTTGAATAGATTAAGAAATGCTGGAATGATGATAAATGAAAAAAAATGCATAAGCAATTCTAAGAAAATATCTATTTTAGGCTATTCCATTTCAAAAGACGGTATATCACCAGACCAAGCCTTGATAGAAAATATACTAAAAGTAGCTACACCTACAAATAAAAAAGAATTGGAGTCTTTTTTTAGATTGGTAAATTTTTACAGGCGATACTTACCGAAATACACGGACTTGATGGAACCGTTTGCAAATTTAAGAAAAAAGAATGTGGAATTTATGTGGTCAGACAAACAGCAAAAAGCATTTGAAAGATTAAAAGAAATTATGTCAAAGAAACCTGTAGTGAAAATTTTTGATCCAAAAAAGGACATAACACTCACTACAGATGCAAGTGAACATTCAATATCAGGAATATTATCACAAGAAGGACATCCGATAATGTATTTGTCGAGAAGATTAACGAACACTGAATTTAATTACTCGAACTTAGAGAAAGAAGCATTGGCTATCGTGTGGACAACTACCAGAGCCCGACAGTTTTAATTGGAAAAAAATTTCTATTAAGAAGTGATCATAGACCGTTAGTTTATATTTAACCCAAGGAAAGAATTACCCAAAGTCACGACATCAAGGATTCTACGATGTGTGATAAGATTGATGGCATTTGACTTTGATATAGAGTATGTCAAAGGAAATTCAATTCCACATGTGGACGCACTATCAAAATTGAGGTTCTACAAGGAGTCAAAAGACAAGACAGAGGAAGAATTTGAAGATTCATTCCTACACTTGATAGACTGATGTTTTGTCTTTAGACAGAATGGCTGCGGAAACGAGACATGATCCGGTGCTAAGTAGGATAGTATCGAGAATAAGGAAAAACTTGTGGGGAAATTGTTCTAGGGCAGAAAGACCCTATAAAGAAATAAGACACAAATTAACAATAGAACATGGAGTGATTTGCAATGGGGACCTGGTAGTTCCCCCAGAAACACAAAGAAAACCGATAATAGAAAGTGTACATAATGATATACACTGTGGAGTAGCGGCCACACAAAAAAGGATAAAATTAGAAGCTTGTTGGCCGGGATATTCAATAGACGTTGAGGAATATGTAAAGAGGTGTAAAAAAATGTAAAGAATTAAGAAACTTTACACAAACCAAATTACATTCGTGTCCCAAAGAAGTGGAGCCATGGAGTTGTGTGCATATGGATCATGCATACATTAATGGAGTGGGACTCTTATTAATATTAGTAGACTCCTTTTCAGGTTGGCCTGAAATAATCCGGGTGACAAACAAAAGTTCTACTATAAAGCAGATTCTAAGAGTCATATTTTCTAGAAATGGTGTACCAAAAACCTTGGTATCTGATAATGCACCAGAATTTTGTGAGGAAGGACTTAACGTATGGTTAGAAAAAATAGGGTGTAAACCATATAAGACACCTCCATATCACCCTCGATCAAACGGATTAGCAGAAAGGATGGTACAGACCGTAAAAAAGGGGCTAAAAGCATGCTCTCAGCAAAAAGAAAAAGTAGAAGTTTTTCTACCAAGGCTGCTTTTAAGTTATCATACGATACCACATGCAGGAAGACTAGAAAGCCCATCAACTTTAATGGGAAGACAGATTAGAGCTCCGCTAATGATGTCATATTCTACAAATGAAAAGATGTGGTACAAAAAGAGCAAAGATGCAGATCTGGAAGAAGCTGAATTTATAATGCAAAAAGGCCACAATACAGCCATAATAAATAGAGAGAATGGCAATAGTGTGTTAGCCCTTGCTGACCAAATAAGGACCCAGGGTGAAGAGGAAGAACGAAACGACGAAGAAATGTCTTCAATTCCATCTGATGAGTTGGTAGAACAACCATTACAGAAGGAAACGTCAGAAGAGGAAGCAATGCAGGATGAAGAGGGCCAGAAGGAGTCTGAAAGTTCGGACGAAGACCAGATTATGCAAACACATATGACTACAGCCTAGCCCCTGACAGATTGAGGTCTCCCAGGGAAAGAAATACGGGAGAGAGAGAAATAGAGCGAAGTGATGAAAATAGCAGAAGGAGGAGTACAAGATCAACGAGAGGAATAAAACCCTTAAGGTTCAGGGAGATGTAGTGATACTAGCAAATTAGTATGCATAATTTGCATAAGCATAAGTGAACACTCATATAAGTGGTCACCGGGAATAACAAAGTAGAAGTACAAGTCTAGCGGCTGATTAGTGCTAACTTCAACTTCACAACAATTTTTATGCACCAAATTAAGTCAGTATTTCATTTGCCAAAAAATTCTTAAATTGAACTTGAAGTTGCCACAAAGGATTTCTTTTGATTGATAAAAAACTATTCAGTTGAATATGAAAAGAAAATTGATTGCATGAAATCTATAATAGTCATATTTAAAGAAAATTATGTTGGTAGAAATGAACTAAATTTCTATTTAATATTTTTATTGGTGCTTAGTTCCCTTATCCTGCCATTGATATATTTTCTTGTATGGATTGATTTTTATAAGTCTGC